AACCTGCTCTCCCAGATCCTTCGGAAACTGGGAGAGCAGGTTCCAGTATCTTCATTTGAGTTCTTTTTCGGCTTGATGCAGCTTCCAACATGCATCGGATGCTTCGCTCCATTCCTGTTCCTGACTTTTCGAGAAGCTCGATGGCAATGTCTGCCAAGTTTGAAAGTTCTTCCTGAGAGTAACGGTCGATCTTAGCTGTTCACTGCCACTGATGTGGACTGTCTTCTGAGTTTCCCTTTTCGCGAATAACAGGCTGTCAACTCCTAGGTTGTGGGTTATTGACGAACGATCTGACTCCTATTCTCCTGCCTCGACAAACCCTTTCGGAACTCTTCGGTTCACTCAATGTGGCTATTCGTATCACCCACGGGTTATCTCCTTCCAATACTGAACTGGTTGGCATCGCAAGTAGACTTCATACTTTTGCAATCGAGGAAGCTGGCTTTTTCACCAGCTCAACTCTTTCGTGTCTATCCTACATCAATGATTTCACCGCTGATCCGCTGACAGTGGAGATGGAGCCATAGAGAGGCGTTTGAGGTCTCCCCAGTGTTAGAAAAGCCTTACTTTCTCTCCGATTTCTTCATGCCTTCCAGAAGGTGATCCCTTATCCAGAATACAGATTCGAATTAACTTCTTTGCCCAGATTGGTTTACTCCTCGGTATACTGTCAAGGGCTTGTGGTCACTTTCTGGTGACGTCCCAGCATTACCATTAGATTCTTTGAAGATTTTATGCGTGATTTGGTTTCTTCATCAACTGTCCTGTAAACCTGCTCCGAAGCTGTTGAAGATAGAACTTTTGCGGTATTCGCAGTGCATGGTTTTTGTCTCTGCAAAAATCAACCCGTGCTTTTTTCAAGCGCAGGCACGAACCTATACTCTAAACCACCCGATTACCTCTGCCCTTGTCATTTGTCATTGATTCCCTAACAGGAAATTTCTTAGACAGTGAAAATAAATAACTGAACCAGAACTTTTAAAATAAAAAAGCTATTTTTCAGACAGTGCCGTGTCTGTATCAGCTCAAGCTGATGAAGTGCTGCTGCTATAATTGCGTGTCCATGACAATTTCGAAAAATTGATTCCCTTTTAAGACATCAAAACATCATACTCGTTAGTGGCACATGAGAAACTGTCATGAAGGCCAACTGAGCACCATAAAACATTGAGTGCATCATGGGATCGCGATCCACTCACATAAAGAGTATTTATCGAGTGTCTGGTCACGCGATGAGCCATTCAGGCCCCTTAAACGCCATACAGAAAACTTCAGTTCAGTTATCGTAATGAAGCAACTTTAAGAAACTGCCAACGAAGGAGCGGAAGACGAGTAAGTCAGCAGTATCAACTGCAACACTGCATTTACTGTACCGCACAAATTCACGATTGGAAGCTCGGCAGATCTCAGCTCCCAGAATAGCAACACACAGATTACAAAGCAAGATCAGGGAAGGAAAATCATGCACATGAGGCTCTACTTTAAAATATCCCTAATGTTAAGCAGTATCTGTTCATTTCGCATTCCTGTTCCAGTAATACGAGTAGAGCAGAAGTCGCCACTAAAACGGAAGCAAGCACTCAACCATTAAATGAGCCAATTCATCGATGACTAGCAAATGGCATTAGCACCACCAAAACTGATCCGGAAACAAACATTATGGCGGTTCTGTTTCATACAGATTGCGCTGACAGACGATCCCTCTACAAGAGATGGCAGTAATTGAAGGATTCGGGAGAGTACACACCTTGAGGATCAACTAAAGAGTTCCTCAAGTTGTGCCTACTGCATCTCTCAAGCCAGACCCCTTTACAAATGAAAGTTGCATTTGCCAAAGTCAGTAGATCTTTCTAATGCCAATATCGTAAAATTACTTACAATGCAATGAGTTTGCCAACTCTAAAGTATAAATTGAAATCTGCTGCATCCAATAAATGGTTCAGTTATCCACTTGTTCGTTGGAAGCTTCCCTAATTCCTTCGAAAATGGCTTAGGAAAATTAACATTGTACTAAAATAAAGCAATGTTTCTAGCACTATGGCAATTTAGTGAAGCAATACGAGTCCGGTGTGCGGGTCAGGTAGTGCCGCCGCAATGACGCCGTGTCGTCATTAGGTCACCGCACGCGACAACGATTTCAACAATTCTTACACGTCCACATTGACACTAGTTCCAGCTCTGGCATTCTGCTAGAAATTGATCGGACAACATTCCTGGCACGGAAAAATTATCTCGCTACTACACTATTCATTGACTACACTGTTATTGAAGGGAATCCGGAGTTCCGAGCTCCGTCGACGAACGAAGATCAGGGATGCCGTTGATTACGCCAAGAGATCGAAGATCAGGTGGGCCGGACACGTTATGCGATTTAATGATGACCGTTGGACCAGGGCGGTTATGGACTGGGTCCCTCGGGACGTCAAGCGAACACCAGGACGGCCGCCAACGAGATGGTCAGACTTCTTCACGAAAGCTCTGAACGAAAGGAATGTTCTGCCCCGTGTCCCTCGGGCGAGTGCGATTCACTGGACTACTCTGGCTCGCGAAAGGGACGAATGGAGACGTTACTGGCGCCCGCTCGAGGAAATCGACGATCAACGGGAGTAAAGGTGATACAGGTGATACACTATTCATTGTTTTTTTTTTGCATGCATGCATAGCAATTTTCCAGAATGGTACTAAAGGTCAAATACCATTTCAGTTCATTCTGAAGGATTTAGGATTTAATCTGAAATCCTACTTGTCATTATGCCATCACACTCAAAGATAATACCGCTCCACCCAGTTGGCACACACAAATACGAGCAAAATGTCTTTCAAGAGACTACTATTTTCTGCTTTTAAAAGCAAATAACAAGCTTTTCTGCCATAGCGTTCCATATCGGCTTGTCTATCTCCCTGGTCCGTTAATTAGACTGCTTGTAAAATCAATATACAAATGAGTGCATCCATGAATGGCAAGTCTGATCTACTGGCCACAATTAGTGATGAATGTTTCCACTTAATGAAGGGATCCAGGCCACTTTCGGGACGGAGGAAGTTTATGTGAAGGAAAAGCTGTAGCAGGGGCAAGAATAACACAGTATCAGAGAGAGAAGAGCCTGGGAAGTTCTACTGCCAGAGAGGGGTCAACCAAAGTCTGTCGAATTTGTATAATACAACGCATACTAAAGCATTCGACAACTACATTGTCGTCATTTATGGAAACCGACAAGAAAAATGAACATCGATTTCTCTATAGATAGTGTAGATTGCATTACAAGTATGATCGTAGAGGCAAGCGGGATCAAGCCGAAGACCAGTAGGAGTAAGCCGGCGAAAACCGTGAACATTGCAGACCTACATATCACTTTTCAGCAAATTTGTTTCTCAATCTCATCGATAATAGATTTCCACTATCGAACGCAAGTGTTATCAATTTTTATTTAACTAACCAACTTAATTCTTCAAAACCTTTTTTGTTTACAATGAAAAAGTGTATAAGAAGCCATTACCATCCCTTTCTCAAACACCTCCTATATGTTTAGCGCAATTTTCACCGACAATCTTTTGAAAAGTTCCCTGCGTCTTTAACTCCGAACTTCATATAAGAATGTCCGTGATCATTTGAATAGTAGGCGGTTACTTTCTCTCACATAAATGCTCTAACACAGCTCTTAACTTGCTCAAATGAAGCTCAACTCTACTAGGAGAAAAGCTGACGTAGCCGAGAACATAAGCGCTGTGGGATGCATAATGACGGGCAAGAAATAACGATGTTCAACCAATGGGTTGAATACAGATCGATAAGTATGTAGTCAACGCATACAAGTTAGAATGATGAGATTGAAATACACTTGAAAAACACTCAAAGCATACTCAAAAGTCATGAAGTCTAGGAAATACAAGGGAAAAACTCACTGGTGCCATGGAAGAACATTTGTCGCGCTGCGTTCTCGTGGTCGAAAACGCTGTCGTAGTCCAGCAAGTCGAACTCCAATGTTGCCTTTGAGCGACGAACTCAGCCTTTCGAACACTACCCCTGAAATATCACCTTTTACACTGGCTTACTATCTATAGCATAACTTTCAGAAGTGAGAATCCAAAATGAGTAAAGAAGTAACACGCCTTGGTAGAAACAATCACGAAAACTCGGGGCAGGAATCCGGTTCGTACAATGCCCTTAATGTGAAATCAAATTCAACGGATGATGTCTTTTCGTTTTCGTTTTATTGCCGCGCTGCGTCACAACCAGGCTTTCGAGCTGGGACCCAGAGCCGCCCTACGGTAAGAACTATGTGTATATCATGGATTTTCGTTTTACTTAAGGACAAGGGTCGAACAGAGGTTCGCTCTCTGCCTTTGCGTCCTCTTGCAGGAACAGTAACTATGATAATTAAATATCACACTGATTTGCAAATCATTAAGCCTTCTCTGTATCTAAATTCATTCCTAAAAGGAAGAAACGGCTGTGGGATACTGCAGTCGTTGAGGGAAGAGAAGCTGGACCCCTTGAACGGTGCTCATTTGCCTTCTTTTTCACCAACTCATAGACATAGCGTGCAGTTGCGCGGCTCTACTACACTCCTTCTTTCCTATCTATAAGTACAGTGCCACCTGAAGTAATGAGAGAGAATAGCTTGTTCACCCCGGAGCTCAAAATAACGAAAGTTATTCAAGCGAGAAGGTGTCAAGACGGGCCAAGAGTGTGTGGCTGACTAATCTCTTCCTCCCCCACCTCCCAACCCTATCCCTTACAACAGGCGTCTCATGGTAAGTATAGTGTCAGCTAGGCTTTGAGTTCATGTAAGACAAAAACGAAAATCGAGAGGGGAAACTGAGAAATTCAATCTCATACCGAAATCCCACTATTGCTCTGTATACTATACACTAGTACTAACATTTTACGATCACTGTCTCAAAAGTAGTTCAAAGCAATATCGGACGACGGTGCAATCTTGTAACTGAGCTAAATTTTGGCTGTTTTGTCCCCAATTACTTCCCAAGCAGAGTAACAAATGAGAAAGCGGATTAGCTTGATGTAAGAGATGCATCTGCTCGCGTGGACGACTAGAACGAAAACATGGAAATGGCTGGCTGACTCGCCTACATAATTTTCACTAGCGAATCTCATTCTCACGCTCCTATAAAATTTTTCAATAACCGTAAATGGACAAAACATCTGGAAAAGAATGGCCTTATAAAATTTGTATGTTCAGTCACTATTCAAATAATTTCCAAAGAACGTAGAACAGAAAAGCCAGAAGAGAAAAGTATGAAAAAACTCAGGAAGTAAATGGAAATTTTCAGGTATGAGAGTGGCTTTCCCAAGCAAAGTCGTTCCGCTAGTGGTATTCGCTCAGCTGTTTTTGGCCACACCCCCATGTCCTTAGTTTTAAAAAGTCATTTTTATGTATTCTCTGAAGCAGATACATATGTTTTCACCGCCTCCCCATAAAGATCATGAACAACCTTTGTATGTATCAATAAAAACCAGTGCACGATGTCATTACTTCAACCTCAATGTGGCACGAAACGACAGTCGGAAAGTCATTGGCAGAGCCTGTACAATGTGGTAAGGCAAGGTTCAGGATCAAGTATTCATATTCATATTAGAAGACGGCAGAAGATTGCCTGGTATGGCTAACCGGCTCGTTGAAGTGTCAGGCACAAAGAGAAACCTAAGAAAACCTAAGATCTGAAGTGTGAAGCTTCGTACTTGCGGCCCTCTCAGAGCATGTGTCTCTTATATGCGAAAGACCACAAGCTTCAACTCCAACTTCTCCTCCCCACGATCACGCAATCAGATCGAGGTCGCCGTTTTCTTTACTGATGGAGCTCTAATTGAATGCGTCGCCGCCATTCAATCAGCGGGGTCGTTTCATTTTTATGGCCCTAGGGAAAGTTCCTTTTTGATACGAAAAACTAGCAACAGATGGCTTGAATCCTGATGTGTGAACGAGTTCACATCTGGCTGACTGGCTGACTGGTAGGCAACTCGAGAAGTTCGAACAACATATATAAAATGGAACCCAGAGGTAATGATTACCAGGTCATTTAAAAACATGAAGGGAATCGAGGAAGAGCTACTATGGGGGCATAAGCAACTGGTCGTCAGTTTATTCAGTTACCAGTTGTCTTCTACTAGTCCAGGACCCCACCCAATGCAATTCAAGCAAAGCTTACCAACCCAAATAGAGCTTGGGCTGAATTCTGCTTAAAAGAAACCCTCTGATGGAAAGAAATAAAACTATTTGCCTTTCAAAGTTACGAACTTTTAACATTTCGGATCCCGAGGCAAATTCTTTTCGAATTTGGTCTATAACTGTGAACATGGATTGTAATTTAACCACTTGACTGGTTCGATACGTTGTTGGACGCATCTGTCATGCCGAAGAGGAGCGACGAAAGCTTTCGGAAAAAGAGTCGTAAAGGGTGAAATATTATGAAGAAACAGGCTATGAATTTTTGAAACTGGAAATAAAGACAAGGAATAAAAGAGAGAGCTATCGGCGGTTCGGATTGCAGTCTAAGAAATTGTGTTTTGAGCGGGGGCAGTTCACCACAAACACATGTGATGGAAGTGGCGGATGTGGCAGACAACGGCCCCAAAGCCAACAAACAACATCTGTATTACCATGAAATTTACAATGTCGAACAATGACAGTTTCCCTTGTCAACATTCACACAGGAGCACTCGGATTCGGTACAACCCCAAATTTCTTCCACGAAGGGGTGGCTTTATTGAGTTCGGCCATATTTTGAGTTCAATGGGCAGTGCTAAGGAGCAGGGTTCAGCATAGTCCCGAAGAAATTACCCTTCCCATCACTATTTTTCCCTTTTATCAGTTTGGTAACAATATTGGGGTTGGACACAACTCTAATCGAAGTGAAACCAGATCGTTTTACGAAGCTGTACATGGTGTTTATTTACTTATCTATTTTCACAGTTGACGTAAAGGTGAGAAGCAGTTAGCGTTAAATTAACAATAGTATAGCATATATAGTACAATTCTAATACAAATAAAATGGATAGATAGATAAAAAGGATAATACAGTGATACAAAGGGGGAGGGGAAGAGTCAAAGGGACGCTCGGGAGAGAAAGGGCAGTGCCGCGGCCAAACACTGCAAGCAGCTATGAGGAATTGCAGCTCCGGATACCAGCTTAGTAGGTCCGCCAACCCCTCCTAAGGCCCAGAAGAAGGGCTACCGGGCGAAATTTAAGGGTTCGAGAGGTTGAGAGATGCATGATGATAAAGAATTTGCTCTGTGAGGTTCTCACTGAGCCTCCCTTTTAATGGAGGTCTTCGCGGCGCTCTCTTCCTCTCTTCCGTCCGTTCCCAAGACATTTCAACCTTTTTCTAGCATTCCGGCCAGGAAAGGAAGGCAAGGAATGCGGTCGCTTCATTGGAATGGTCGGCGGAGTTTGCCCAGGAAGGCATAAACGAATCGTAAAGAAAGTGCAACTGAACAGCGATATGGGATTCCAGAGGTAGACGCGCCGAAGTCATTTTGCAAACTTAATCTTTCGGTATTTCAGAGCTGTTTGAATAAGTAGGCCAGCTGCCGGATTCTGTGACGAGTCCCAAAGCGAAGAAAGCGAAATTGGAGCGCCCGCTTAAAAATCGGCCCATTTCATTATACTGAAGGCCAGGATAAAAGGAACCTTGGATAGGATTAAGAGGAGCTGCTCTACGTAACTGGCGAACCCTGGGTGGGTATGGGATCGGCTCTCGAGAGAAAGTGGGGATACATAGTGCGTTTCCTCCTCCCCTTGCCTTTACTCAATCGTAGTCCCAGAACGTCATTATACCCGAAGGGATGAGAACAGAGCTTTTTCGTATTCGGTTGTTGGAACCACAAGATTCATACCCTTGCAATGGCCACTTTCGACTGAATGCCATGCCTACCACATCATTCACTGGAAGTTTGTTCTTTCATACTGAGAAACGTTAGGCGGCTCAACTAGTGTAGCGCCGCCGAATGTGCGTCATTACTAACCGGAATCAGTGAGGATTGCTGGAATATTGAATTAGCAGCACCATACCATGCTACCAGAATTTCACGCATATGTTTTGTACGTAAACTAACGACCTGAACATTCTGACTCCACATTTTCTTTCGTGTCAATTGCTGTTGCTTCACTACGGCGCCCGATGAGAGGGTCTCGGTCAGAAGTATGGCGACTTATTAGCAAAACGCTTGACCTCGAACGGGACTCGAACTAGTCCTTATACCTTTCTTACTCCTCCTTGAACTTTGTTGTGCTCCATTTAAAATCTGAGAGTTCACGCACCTCTAATTGTGGGACAAGGCATTTGCGGGAAGAATTTGTTAGAAGAAAAAACCAAACAACTTCAGCTACTGTTAGGATACTTCTTCGATTCTCTTCACATTTCTGCTAGATGAAAGTCGTTTGATAGTGAGAACAAAATTGGTATTGATTGGTATTGGCTTATTGATTCATTCCCTTCGTAGGAGTGTTGTACCGTGCGCAGGGGACTGGTTTGTGTTGCTGATATGATATGATTACCCGCCGCTCAGTATGCCACCTTTTCAATCGAGATCTGACAGACCCAATTCCAATTCCCACACTGTTTTCATCTAGATATGATTAATTACTCATTTACTTGTCAATTCCGATTTTTTGATTGAATACCGTACACAATAACTCTACAGTACTCGGATATCGTTACATGAAGTCCTTTCTCGCTAGTTGACTCAGAGTTGCCGAATAGTAGAGCCACCGGAAGTAACCAGCAAAAAGAAAGGATTGTGTCAATGATGATGAGAAGTTTATCTCATTTGATACACCTTTTCATACCCATGTGAGGCGTTCTGGCCAAGCTGGAAGGGCCCAGGAACCATCCAGACATCTTCACGAATGATGTAACTTCACTTACATTTACTTAGAATCTATTCAAACATCCGTGTCTAATGGCTGCAATGCTTTAGCTGCATTAGTGAACCGTTTTTCGATTCTGGAAACTCGATCTTGTGGTCTCGGGACGATCTGGTTACAGATTCAGCTTTTTTGACTGAATTCATCTCTCCAACGACAATATTCGCTGCTAAGTTATTCTTCATAACGACTACATCTCAGAATAGGAGGCTTGCAGATGACGCCCACAACTAGCTACCCTCTGAGAAGCATTGGTAGAAGGAGTAGAATGCTCGTGACACTACGGAAAAGTAGCAAGCAGATCCATGAGCATGGATCCAACTAGCATAAAACAGATGCTTAAAGGCACAGTTCACGATAAAAACGGTTTCTGAGATTCCCTCACAGGATGAATTTGAGGGGTCCGCTTATACCATTTCTGGCACTATTAGGTCGGAAAACGGCATAGTCAGTGAGTTATAAAGGCTACTCGGACGAGTTTCACCGGTATTGCAGAGGCTGCACCATTCAGAAGGGAATCTATGTAGGTGGCTCAAGCAACTTGTCTGACCCATAGCGATAGAGAAAGGCATTTCTATGCAGTTCTGCCTTGATGTAGTCAGCTCTTTGTGCAATTGCAATAACTGAAATCGCGTCCGAATACCCCTCCGTGTTATTTCCGTCATGGCAAACTACTCCAGCCTCTATTTTCCCTACTGTTGAGGAGCCACGTTTTTCTCGAAATCGGCGAATTCTCTCGCTTTCTTCACTACCGATGAACTATTCCCAATCTATACTTCCGCATTTCTTCCGCACATTAAGAAAACCAGAACTTTACTGTATAGACATACTACAAGAAGACCACAGCTGTCCTACTTAATTAAAATCTTTAATAAAATGTTTCTGATTGATTATTCGAACCTGAAATCTTAGAACAATAACTATTCTGACCCTCACTCGATTCAGACATCACGCAATTTTTCTTTTATCCATTCCATGAGAAATTCTGGTAACGCTTGCGCTTTAATGGGAACTATCGAATGTCAAGTTCATTGAAATACTCTCTTCAGAAGAAAGTTTTGCACCACTTTTTTCGCTCGAGCAAATTTATAGAGCTTATTTCAGTTGAATCATCACAATTGCTCCCGAAACACTTCATTTTACGAAGTCTCGCAGGAATATCATTCGCACTGTTTTCGCTGCCTTCGGCTACATCTTGAACTCCTCCTGGAATGACTGCAATGACTTGTAAACTCTTTCGATGCTTTCGCGTACAGTTCTCCAACTGACAGTTGTTTGTAAGCATCGATCATTTGGTCGGCGCTCCATTCCACAGATCATTTCGTTCCGCTTCGAAGACAGCTCCGACCATTCCAATGCTGTTGTACGGCCCTTCCTTGTCTGGTGCACTGAAGCCAACACCAGCCCCATGTGCGTGTTCATGGCGTCAGAACAGCAACAATTATTTGAACCCATGTTGTTCCTACTTCCTTTTTCCCAATTTCTGCTTGATAAAATTACGGTAGCTTTCAGTTGTGTTGTACTGCACTGAATAATCGACTGGGACTGCTCATTTCAGTTGTTATATTCCAACCCTTTCATAGTCCCACTGAGAATCAGAAAGCATACATGAAATGATGTATGCGAGCTTTACTATTACAATGGGAGAACTTAGTTCCTGGACAATGTTTCAGCCAGCGTACACTACGAAATGCAGGTTTTCTGAATAGTTATGACCCTCTCATTGACTAGGCAAGCTACTCAGAGAACTCTCTAATGGTCCGTGGAATAACTCAAATGGAAATATAATGAAGTAGAAAAAATGATATGCCGTCCTTCGACCACTACTAGTATCGCCTGACGCGGTTCTTCAATGAGGCGACATGTATCCTCTTGTATTTGTACATTAGAGGAGAGTTCCTTTGATCATACTCCAATTCAGTTTTAAAAGTTCAAACTGAAAGTGTGTAGCTGTCTAACTGATGTAGATGTCTCATGACCAATGAAGCATGGGAATCCCCGAGGTTCTGAAAATGCATCAGGAAGCTGCCAAACAAGAAGTATCGTTACTGCAAGGCGTATTCCATACGACATCAACAGATGTAAATACCATCGCGGCTTAAAAAGGTCCTCGCAGTCAGGGTTTGCCCCATCAACAAAGGCAGATGAGGTTGGGCACACACCTCGAATTACTACAAATGTGTTCAGTTTGTATTACATATGAGGTGTAGAATGGCCTCCTAATGAACTTTTCTCGGCAAATTTGCTGTTAGCTTCCCGATCAGGAATGACATTTGCTGATCAATCATCTGCTCCTTGTCCTGCTACCATCACTGTTCATTTCCTTTCTACCTTCGGATAAAAGGTTTCAATGGAATAATAATTCGTCGACGAAACGGTTGTGAAGACCCTTTTCTTTTCCGACGATGCGGCGTATCCTTTCAAATTCGCCGAACTACAGTACCAGACGAGAGGGCGGGTATGCAAAAAGACTACTTATTTACAGCTATTGTTATCGTAAATGCCTTTTCCGCATAAACTTCCGGTGTATTCTTATCACATGAGTCATCTCATGCGATAAGAATGACATAGTGTGTAATAATTAAATTTATTTATGTATAAGGTTTCTCCGCAGCCCTTAAATCGTTCTCATAGCGCTCAGTTGAGATTTATAAAAATTAATCTGCCTGTGTGCTGTTCCTCTCTTTCTGAAGTATACTAATTTTCAATTTTAATCTGTCGTAGTAGCTCTCGAACGATGGTTTGCCCTCCATTTATGGTTTGCTCTCCTTGACGAAGACCAATCAATTTTAACAGTTGAAAGAGCACGAACAAGGCCTTGGGGTTGAGCTATGAACGATGATTGTTGTATAGGAGCTGCATGCCACTGCCCCATCCGGGTTCCCTAAGTTAATGTTTTTGCCAGCAGGAAGTTGACGCACTCAAAGTCTTTCCCTCTTTTCCTTCCTTTCCTATTTTTCTCGTACCTTTCAAACTCTCTTATTGTCTTACTTGTGATTTATGTTTTCTCCATTTATTTGTTCTTTTCCATCAGCTTGTTAAGTAGCCATAACCGTGTAGTAGCCAAGAGCAGAAGCGCGAAGTTGCGATTTTTCCTCCATCCCCCTGGCTGTCTAGAAACTCTGAATGGTTCTGATCGGTTTGCCTTTCCTATCTGACATATCGTACTTTTCCAGCAAGTTCTCTCAACAATCAAGTCATTTCAGGCACCGCCGTACGTGTGTGGCTTGCCGCCCAGTCACCAAAAGTATGTCCAGGGCTTGCTTGCACGTACGACGATTTTGTCGCGACAACACACTGCTCGTGATGACGATCGTGTCGGTAGTGCTCGGAGTGACGCTGGGATTCGGTCTTCGTCCACTGAATCTTTCAGCCGAAACACTTCAACTTATTAATTTTCCTGGCGAGATATTCATGCAAGTGCTGAAGATGATGATTTTGCCGCTGATATTCTCGTCGCTCATTTCCGGTAAGAAACATTCGCTACTCCTTACTATTTGAGCCGTGCTTACACTTTTTTACTACTTGCGAAGTGGCTGTGAAGTAATAGAAAAAGGCAGAACCGGTTTCTTCCCTTTTCGAAGCTCTTCCTGATAATCAAGCATAAGAAATACTGGTATCATTATGAGAAGTCTGATGGCCTTGAAACAGAAAATATCACTTCCGTTATCGAATTCAATACTAACTTTGTCATTATTATGTGATAAAAGTATCTGAATAGTTGCTATTTCTGGCATTCAAACGAGTTTTTTTCAAAGTTTAACCGTATTACTTAATATAAATGTTATTAATTGATGTACTCTTCTAGATACCGGTAGAAATAATTGACAAAATAGCGAGGTATTATTATTTTGAAGATGAAAAGAACTTCTTTTTTTTGGAAAAATACCACACAAATTCCTACTCGCACCACGAATAAATAAATAAATGAATGAAAAATAAAGTAAGTGATTAATATGATGATTCCTATAACCATTTAGCTCTGGCTCAAATGGACGCGAAGGAATCGGGACAAATGGGTTTGGCCACCGTGCTTTACTATCTTACCACAACTGTACTTGCAACACTGGTTCGTTTTTGTATGCCTACTCATATTTTTGCTTTCAATTTGATTATTTCGAAATATAGTATAAGGGGCCTTTTTGATTGAAAAAAATTACATCTTTACATTATAATTTAAATTTTTTCACTTATATTAACCTGTCTAGAGTTTTTGGATGCTTTTCTTCTTTTACCTTGACTTGTGTTTTTATTTAGATTATTCCTTTCTTATTTGCTTCGAATATCACAAAACTTTGTGAGTCTGAAAAAGGGCGAAAGAGTTCCTGGGAACTACTTGAACTGTCTTAGGGACAGATTAGGGAGAGACTAAAACAAGCGATACCCAACAGCACCAGTGCTGTCATCTAATAGGCCATGTTTTCTATTTTGCCTCCAATCATGTTTATTGTTTGATAGCTGTTGATATAAAAGCTTTTCCAGCTAGGAATATTCCTTGTTATGACGATACATCCCGGTGATCCTTCTATAAAAGCTGGCAATCTAGCCGAGGTACCTGTCGATGCTGACGTTTCGCCTATGGATACGTTTCTGGATCTAGTGAGGTGAGGGTGACGATATTATTATAAAAAACTGGTAATTATTTGATAAAAGATCAATTTTTCACTGCTAAAAGACTTCGAGCCCTTCATTGATGGTGAAATTGCCATGGTGCTACTGCGGTCTACCAAGCGTTACACTGTATTATGAAAATAAAGGCCCTCTGAGTAGTCTATATGGAAATTTACGATTTAACAAGTTCCATAAAGGACATATCACTCTGAATACTCTCTCTTTCTATTTCGAAGCTGCTCAAGTTGTTCCATGCCATCCGCTTGCTGCCGACTCTCATCGCGTCACTAAAAATCCTCTACTCTCCCTTCTTTACTGAACACTCTCGAAGGCGGACAAAAGTTGGTGGTTCGGCCATGTCACACAAGAAAGGGCTCTGCAACACAAACAGCATCTTATCAGCTTTCGTTGAGGAAATATGTCTAGGTATTCAGACATCGTCTAGACGGTCTTTGACTATAATAAAGCCGGAACCAATGTTACTTCGCTCATCAACTTATTCGAAGAAAGCTTGCGAACTTCTGCATGATATATCCTGGGATACCTTATTAGCTAAGACGTACTCCAGAACGTTTCAGGAATATGTTTCCCGAGAACATCATCCAGGCGACGTTCGAGCGAGTACAGACGACGTATGTGGCACAGAGGCCGCGAATCTCGAAAAACGCCTCCGACGATGTCATCATCATGAAGAAAGCAATTAGCACAACTCGTGGCATGAACATTCTCGGTGAGTTCTACCTGCCTCACAGGTTGAATCTATTTTTTCGGATTCATCTCCGTGCAAAAGGTGGTGTAGGGGCCAGGGGCGCACTAGCACACGGTCTGCAGTTCGAATCCCAGCTCGATTCTTGCCCAGGCCAACCGAGCCTTCCGCCCCTCTGGGGTCAGTTAACTTGTGCCCGTTTCGTGTGGGAGGATAAAAGCACTGTCTAATACATAGGCTAGCCACCGCCAGTCGTGCATAGGCCGTACACGCATGCAAACCGCTGCCACGACCCTGAATTGAGTTGAATGTGGGGGGCGCATCCCGAAAACGGTTCCGTACAAGAGCAGAAAATTGAAGCCTTTTTACTTTGGTCTGCTGACACCACCTCCATGTATTTCAGGCATTATTGTTTTCTGTACGGGTTTCGGTATCGTGATCTCACAACTCGGCGAACGAGCACGAATCGTCGTCGACTTCTTCGTGATTTTAGACGCCGTTATTATGCGATGGGTTGAGACGCTTATGTGGTGAGTACAACCCCAACGTCTCTTCAGACACCCTTATAACGCAGAGTTAAGGTTCGCTCCGCTCGGTATCACATGTTTGGTTTGCGGGAACCTACTGGAACTTGATGATCTTTCCGATACCGCAAGTGTTCTACTACTGTGAGTCTTCACTCACTACTATTTATTACTTATTATTAAGACTTACAACCACTTATTATTACTGTCGACTCTCATCCGTTACCAGTAGGATTGCCTGGCTAGGGCCGAACATTACTCTTTTTTACGAGAAACAGACACACTCACACCCACTCACCGACACACGTACACATATACACAAAAGCACACACACA